ATAAAATGTAAATCATGTCCTACATTGAGGAATTAATTTACCATATGTTGCCTAGAAATTAGCACAACTACTAACTAGAAGTTCTAGTCTTCAGAAAAGAATGAACGTTGAGTTTCATGGGAAACTGAAAATGCCAAAATAGTTACCAAAAATTTTGAATAATGGAAGTTATCCTTTTATAGGGAGTCAAGGATAGAGATCTAAAGAGTCTACAGCCTTAGTTATTATATGCACAATGAACATAAGGACAATGACAACAAACACAACAACAAGAGGCCAATACCTCATAACACAATGGATCAGCTTTGATAGCAGCTTTGTACCTGAAATCAAAACAATCATGTAGATCACTAAGAGCATTCAAAAATTTTTAATGTAATACAAAGTTCAATGCCTTAAAACAACTTAAAGAAACAAATATAATTCATTTCCTCTAGAGTGAGTAAGTAGCATTACATGAATAAGAAGAATAGTTAGAAACTATCATTAAGAAAAAATTGGCATATACTAACCATTGTCGAGCCAAGGCACGATTTTGCAGAGCTTCACATGCTTTGCCTCGTAGAAAGCATATTGCAGAAGAAATCTGTCACAAAGTAAAAAAGTCATATTGTTCCAACCTTTAAGCAAAAGGTAACATCTTTGAACCTTTATCTGGGCTAACTACAGATGCATGTCTTCCTTTTTCTCTCTTTCCCAGCTATATTAAGGATAATGATTCCATGTGATTAACAAAAACTAGGAAGCCAAGTGCTTTCCAGGTCCAAAGACAGCATATGAATTGCTTATTACGAAATGAATAGAACTAGCCTAACCTAAAAGAAAGCAGTCCATTTTACCAGAACAACACCCAGTACCATATCAATTTCAGGAAAAAATATGTAAGGTTCCCTACTTAAGGATCAGATTATGGGTCTAGAAATAGATAATTTAAAACAGGATTAAAGTTTTTTGCAACTTTCCTTTTTCTCTTTCCTATTGTGACAGAACTTAGTACTCCTTAGATACAATCCTAAGATCCCAGATTTTAGAAAAATAATAATAATAATAAGTGACTTTGTTGAACAAGTTCTACTTATCCATTTCTGAACTCCAAAGAGTTTCTATCATCAATTATCAAATTGACAGCCACTAAGCAGTTCTTCTACAGTTATATTAAGCTGAAAATAAAACTGAAATAAGCCACCCGATAAAACTGAACAGAAAGAAAACTAACAATTGCATATGACAAATAAAAGAAAAAGAAATTATACTTGTTCTGAAGAAGCCAATGAGAACAGTTTTCACCCTTTGACTTGGTAATTCTTCTTTTTCTCATGTGTAAAACACTTGTAAATCTTTCCATAAAGCTGTCACATGAGCTTACATGTGTAAAACACTTGAGAAGCCTAGAACTTATGAGGTATTTGATGTTTGCCAAACATGTAAAAAATTTAAAAAATTGTTAGAGAGCTTATAAGTTCTTGTTGGCCAGCTTATAAAAGGAACCAGACACCCTTCTGCATAGGAAGGGACGAGGTCAACTTGTTTCCTTTTATCAAATTCCATACTTCTAGGCTCCTAGTGTTTAAGACATTTCACACATGTGTTCGGTTCAATATCAATAAGATGCTTGTTTAGGCAAGAGGAAACAGTCATGCACTCCTTGTATTACTATTTATCAGGAAAGAGAATTGAAGGTGCACACACTAAAGACACCGTTGATTCCAACTATTTGCTACACTAAGGATATTAAAAGTGCCAATCCTAGAAAACAGAGATAAGAATGCATTAGAAATAGAACAAGATTGGAACAGGGATAGTATTCTAATCTTGTTTTAGGACCAGTCGAGTAAAGTTTATCTTTATCTGTTAAAAATTATGTAGATTTATGACCCTTAGTTAGCCAAGTAGGAATCATAAAATTATTTACAAAGAATTCAAGGATGGAATTAAGGTGGTTCAATTGTAAATAAAACATGAATATGTACTTATATATGTGATCAAATACAACAACTCACTCTGGCTACTGGTGCCAATGTAGAGTAGGAACCAAATATAGCCTAAAAGGTATATCATAAGGATTGTATTTACACGTAGTTACATAATTACCTTGTTAGCTTACATCTTTTTTCACCTCTGTTCCTAAAAGTATCTCAAAAAGCTAACGTTAATTGCCTTATAAATCTTTGAAAAATTCATTAGGGTAGTCAATTAGGACGATTATAAGATTGTATTTTGAAGACCAAACTAAAGAAAGTAGTTATAAACAAATGCACCTGTAGAAACTTGCTAAAATGTAATAAACTAATAAATAAGCTTACATTGATCTCTCGATCCTCCCCATCTTTGTCCAAGTACATGACATTGCCATCTTTTGTATCATATACATTCCCATTCTCATCAACCTTAGCCTCACCAAGCATCAACATACACTGATCCCATTCCTTCAACTCTTCCTGGTGATGCACACAAAGAAAAGTTCACAATCACCAAAAACCCTAAACCCGAAAGCCCCAATTACATTACAAATAAAAAATAAAGGAAACAGATAGCTCATAAAATAAATGACATTAATAAAGCAGATTGAGGGAGAGTTGGAAAGGAAGATTAATTACGAGGCACTTGGCAGCGAGATAGCGAAAACGGAGGTCTCGGAGCACGATTTTCGAGGCATTGAGTAGGTGGAAAGCACGGCGGTAGTGGCGGCCAAGGAAGAGAGCCTGCGCCTGCATGTAGATGTCAGCCGGATCATTGGTCAGCGCCGCGACCTTGTCGGCGAAGAATATTGCCGAAGAGTACAGATGCTTGCTTACACAGTCTCTCACCACGCCACGGAGCCTCTCTACCTCCTCTTCTCTCATTTTTTAACTTCCTCTTCTTTTTAATTGAGAGCTGAGACTTGAGAGACTATGAACCAAAAGCAGAAAATAACCAGCGTAATCCTGGTGAGTTTGTTTGCCGAGGAAGTGGTTTTCTCTGTCTGGTTTTCCTGCGTTTTGAATGAAAAGGGTTTTCCGCTTCTGAGCGACGGAAAAAGTCGACGAGTGAGTCAGTGACCGAGTGAGTGGAAATGAGCGGGAGTTCGATTTTTTTTTTTTTTTTTAATTTTCGATTTCTTGTGGGCTTTTGGCCCATAAGCTACTTCAAACCGCAAAGAGTTTTGGGTTAATTTTTATAAATTATTTAAAGCATATTTTTTAAATGTAGTTGTTCTTTGTTATAGATTTAATTATTTGAACCCCAATCCTCAACTGCAAACCCGAATCCAAATTCCCAAATTCAAATCTGAATCCAAATACCCAATTTTGAATCTGAATCCAAATCCCAAATTCAAATCCAAACCTCAATCTCCAAATCCAAATTCTCGAACTCAAGTCCTAATCATACCCCTCATTTTATTTTAAAATTACTTTATAATGAGTACTTGTTTCTAACCTACTGTAGTAAGAGGGAAAAAGAATCTCTCTTTCTGCTACTCTAAGTTTCCAAATGGAGAATGGGACCTGAAAATCCAACTTGAGTTGCCTTTTGTGTTTCTAGGCAATTAGGGTTATGAATTTTCTCACATAACTCCATTGTAAAGAATTTAAAGCATTCATGGTTTGATACAGTAAGTTCAATGAACTAAGAAAATTTCACTTCTCTAGCTTGTATCCCTGCAATATTACAATAAAACTCAACTTATAGATATGGAAACTACGAATTTGTTTAATTTGTTTCCCGATGCCTTTAGGTTGAGCAGCAGCCAATTTTCTTCAGGGCCGACACATCATTTTTGACATCTATTGTCTCTCCCTTTGCAGGGACAGATGATCCTCCATTTTCTCCTACTTCAACTGCTTTCCGACTCACAGTATGGTAAATCTGAGTTAGAACTTCAGCAAATGCATTTTCCACATTTGTCGCCTCCAGTGCTGAAGTTTCCATGAAGTAGAGTGACTCTCTTTCGGCAAAAGACTTCCCATCTTCTGTTGTCACTGCAACAAGATGACGAAGATCTGATTTGTTTCCAACAAGCATCACAACAATGCTAGGATCCGTGTGGTTTTTCAATTCTTTTAGCCATCTCTCAACATTTTCAAATGTTGAATGACGGGTAACATCATACACAAGCAGTGCTCCTGCTGCTCCACGGTAATAAGCACTGGTGATGGCCCGGTATCTGTGAAGGAAGAGAGCAATAAAGTTGAGTATTTGATATGTGTTATCACAGCATTGCAGAATCTAAGGTCATTAGACAAAAGTATGATGTGAGCTCTTATCTATAACTTATGCAAGTACTTCTCAACATTTCTTCTATTATAAAGTGATTCATGAAAGCAATTCAACAGGCAGAATCCAACATATTATCAAGGTCCTCGCGAGAAGACTTCCTATTACGAAACAAGTTAGCATTAACATGCCAGAAAACACAAACCTCCGAATGCTATAGTTTCTCTGGTATTTTTTCTCCCGTTTCCAGGTTAATGGTTTGCAAGAAAGGGCACACCATGGAAATTGACCAGAACAAGCCTAGTTCCAATAGTGAGGATTTGCACCATAAACCCTGCATAGGCGGTGCAAGCCCAAAAGCCTACAGAAGAAGAGTCATAGAGCTCTTTGCAGGACTACTGAAAGCTTATAATAGGCTCACTTTTAATGGACATCAAAATCAGTTTCTCATATTTCACTATCTAATACTTTATCGACAGTAAGCACAGTAGTGGTCATCTGGGTTGCATAATTCCACCTAGTCAGGCATACAGACATGTCATTCAGATGTTAAAGAACATGTATTAATTGCTAAGTAAAGATAATCTGACAAGACAAGTGAAATATTATTTGAAACATGCATCTAAGCACACTCATCGTCATGTAGAACTTCAAATTTCAGAAGGGTATGGAACATCTCATGTTGATTTAGGTAATCGTATTGCAGAGTTATTTATAATTCCAACCACGGATTTTAGTATCAACTTTATTTACAAATCAGGAGAGGTAAAGGTCTGATAAAACATAGAAGGAAATCAAGTGATTTATTAGCAATAAACCCTCCTTGAAAATTAAAATGGATATCACTATAAAGAAAGTCATTCTGCATTACAATTTGTTCATTTCATATCCAGAAGCACAAACCTCAACATCTATCGGAAGGAGGACCAAAACATGCCTCCATAAGACTGTATTGAGGCAAAGATGGATGGATATTCAAGAATTTAGACGCAAAATTGTCAATTGGTCAAATCTAAGCATGGATCTACTCAGATAGTAGTTGGAGTCGCGGTCCTACTAGAGTTCCCTCATCTAATCTAGAGTTATGCCAAATCCACAATTAAATTTGCATTCAATGCTTCCATTTGGATCACAGCTTTGATGTGAAATGGGCATTTATGGAATACTTTGAACAAAATGATTATCAAATGCCTTCAATTGCTATAAGTACAGAACAGAAGCATAAGACAATTCCAACACAAAGTTGTACCTTTCGAAAATAACTTCAATGGTGTACTTCAAGGATAAGATATTAAGCAATTTAGTACTTAGGAAAATCATAAACAGAGCCAAAACAAAATAACTCCCAACAAGTAAAAGTTGCAAATTCATAACTTTTCCATACAATTCTCAAATATGTGTCCTGAAAAACAGAGCGTCTCACGACCCAAGATCCTAACAAGTAAACTAATATTAACATTCTATTTCCGTTACTTGCCGCATGCATATAACACAATATTCAGGGTAGAACCACAAAAAAAACCTTGTTGAAAAATGCAGCAGTAAAAAAAATAAAAAAACACAACACAGTGAAATTTCGAAACTTCTATCCAACAGTGCAAAACAATAATAGAGAGACATAAAATTTGTTTTTTTTTTTGTCACAGAAGTTGTCAAAATATAGAACAGCATAGCAAATTGAGAAACAATAGCTTTGTTTCCTAAGCTTCTGCTTTAATTGTCTGTTGTAGGTATTCTCATTTTTTTTCCCAGCTGCACCTATGTTTCAAAGATTAGGCCTTTAGTCCCCTTCGCCTCCCCCCACCCCGCCCTAACCAAAAGATCTGGCTTCATATAAATCCAAGTGCAATAGTCTTGCAAAGACAAGAGCAAGAAACAACAAAAAACAAAAAATTGGATCTACTAATAGTCTAGTACCCACAGAGTAAACTCACCCGGCAAACTCAACAAGATCCACAATCAAACTCCAAACAAAACCAAATATAAACAGGCTCAGAAAATAAAAGTTGATCTAGCAAATGGCAATCAAACAACCATATTACAGAAGCAAAGCATCAAAACTTGAAAGAAGATTTAAAAAAAAAAAAAAAAAAGCAGCGAGACAAGTAAAAGGTACAGTAGAAAATAGAAGGGACCTTTCTTGGCCAGCAGTATCCCAGATCTGAGCCTTTATGACTTTGCCGTCAACGTTGAGAGTGCGAGTAGCGAACTCAACGCCAATGGTGGACTTGGACTCGAGGTTGAACTCATTCTTAGTGAACCTGGAGAGCAGATTCGACTTACCAACACCCGAGTCCCCAATCAACACTACCTTGAAGAGGTAGTCGTAGTCATCTTCAGCTCTGTACCCTGCCATTTTAGAGAGAGAGAGAGGAAAAAAAAAGTTGCAGGTGCTTGAGAAGAGCGTGAAGTGAAGTGGGAAGCGTGAGAGTGATTTTTGAAAAAGCGCCAGAAGAAGTGTGAAAAGGAAAAGGTTCCGGTGAGAGACCTTCACCGTTTTACACTGAGCTGTCCTTTTTAATCACTTTTGTTTTCAAATAAATAAAATTTATAATTTATCATTATCCCTACTTTAAAAATCATAAATTAAAAGAAGAATTCTTAATTTTTAAAAATATTTATAAATATATATTTCTATTTTTAAAAGATAAATAAAAACATAAATTCGTACATAAAGTTTACGATTCCTTCTCCTTAAAAATTTAAAAGTTTCTATTTTATTACCCACGTATTTTTACTTGTTACAATATGTTTGGATAAATTATGTGTGTAATTTATTTATTAATCCTCGTAATAGCAATACTTTTAATTTAATTAATTCAAATATAGTTTAACTACATAAATATTTATATTGAATTCATTTTAAGATACAATGTGTCGAAGATATAAAATTAAATAACAATTAAATTATTCTAAATCACATTTATTACGTGTTTTTATTATTTACTATTTAACTCATGAGAGTATAAATTTATTATTGTGAAATGTAAGATATGAATAATTAATTTAATTATGTATTAAATATTTAACATATAAAAAAATTACTTATAAAATAATAAATGTAAAATTTAAATCAAAATACAACAAATTTATATCAAACATAATGTTATTACCTGATTTTTGACTCAGATAATATTTTTTTATTTTTGCGAGCTAAAAATTAGAGATTCGATTTTTATAAAGTACGAAAATGGTATTTGGGCCGGAGTCTTAAAACTATGAGATGAGTAAATGCAGTGTATGGACTAGCCCAAATGAGAATTGGACTCTCTCTTAACCCAAAACCAAAAGCTTACATCATAAATTTTTCAGTTGTACCCAAACTTTTATAATATTTGCAAATTAAACCCCACAAAAAGTTTCAATCATAACGTTCCCTAATTTCGTTCATTCAACACAAATGATTCCTTAAAGAAAGAAAAAGAATTGGACCCCACCCCCTTATCTTTTCCACGGTCTGATTGATGATCATGATCGTGATCATGAATCCCCATGCACCGGAGACCCACCTTATCACTTCCGAACACCCCCGTATCCTTTCAAAAGCCCAATTCAAAATTCAAAATCATCATCACTAAACCCACAAAAAAACCTGATAATCATGAAACTCACGTTGATCAACCTGGGACCCATGATTAACCAGGATGGACCAGCAATGCACGAAATAAACTCTCTCATCTGATTGACCAAACAGTCCGCTTCCACTTTCTTCTCCCCGAAACGACATTAATTCCTTTCTTCTTCTACACCCAAACACCAAACCAGAACCGCACAGTATCCAGAATCCACCACATATTATCTAAACCTTATAAGAAATTAAACGATGATCTCCAATCTGCAGCCGGACTTGGTAGTGTCGCCGACTGAAGAATATTCGTCATCGGTGACATCATCGCCGATGAGTAATTCGACAACGACGTCGTTGAGGAGCCCGAGCGTTCAAGTTGTGTCGAAATCGGTGTCGGAGAGGCTGCTCGGGAAATTCTTCGATGCGTCGCAGTTCGATTTTGATTACGAGAAGAGTGGTTTATGGTCTCCGCCAGTACGACGAACGGCTTTCTTGGATTCGCCGGGTAATATGATCTGCTCCGACGAACAAATGCTCTCTAAACTCAACAAGGCTAAGAAGAGTTACATGAGACGCATTTTCTGTTTCCATTAGGTATGAATTACCTTGCAATTATAACTCATTTCTCTTTTCATTAATTAAATTAATTGGTAATTTTATGCATATACACATACGCACATATATAATATATAATGTGCATGCATGTGTGCATGCATGCATGTAATTATGAAAGAGATAATCATCATTCCATTTTATTTCTTTCTTCCTTTTTTTCCTTTTTGGGACACAACTTTCATGATTATTTATATGTATATATATAGCATAATTTCAAATAAGTGTTTATGTAGAATTAGGTATATAATTTCAAACAACTTATATATATATATATATGAAATTAATTATAATTTTGTTCAAACTTTAAAAAATTACATGTAATTATCTTTCTATATAATAATTGAAACTCAAATAATTGACATAAATATTTAACTTTTTGTACTCAATATCTTTATATTTAATACTCTCTTTGTTTATTAATAATTTTTTATAGTCAAATGATTTATTTCTGTTATTTATAAAATATGGATTCGAGTTTTGAATTATATGTCAGCTATATTATTAATTTGTGATATTAAAAATATTTTTTAGGAAAAAAAATATAATATATATGTTATATTGAAAACATATATAGCAGGGTTGAGCTTAGTTTATATGTTTAAGGTATTATTATAAGTATATATATGCTATAATTGCACATTCCTGTGATCCATAATGATGTTGGGATCTGGTTTAATTTGCAGGTGTTCTGGTGCTCTTGAAGGTTCATATACATATATATATATATGTATGTATGATTGTGATCCAAGAAGGCTAGCGGTAATTTTGGTGCAATTTAAAGTATTACCCACATGGCCTGCTTAATATTAGAATGCGTGAATATAATCAAAATCACAACTTCTTGTCGTTGGGTCAAAAAGTTTCAGAGTCAAAAGCGAAATCTCTTGTTGTCATGAAAATTATATTATAATCTCAAGTTCATTTCATACATAAATTAAGATTTCATTAATTTAATTTAAGTTTATAAACTTGGGAGGTGCATATACATGTATGTTATATATATATATATATATATATATATATATGAATGCCCGGAAGAGATGAGACTGTGAAGGTATGTAAAAGTAGAATTTGAATATCACAAAACAGCGACGTATCATTATATGGTGCAAAGGGAATTTCAGACTGGACTTTCTGGTAAAACCACATGTTTTCTGCCTTTATGGATAACTCCATGTGACACAAACTACAGAAATACGTATGGTTCAATTCAATAATTCAATACCCAAAACATTTTTCTTTCTTTTTGTCTACTAACTAACTTTCAAACTCTTTAATTAGATTCTCTTGGGCAATATATTTTACACCACATATATATATATATATATATTGCCAATATCATATGTGTGTATTTCGATATATTTTCCACCTATTGATATTTCATATTTTGTCTATTTATATATACACCTATATGCACACACAAATAGAAAAGTCTGAAATTTTAAGAAAATGAATATATATTAAAATAGCGAAAGTAAATAATAATTAAAATTTATATTCTTTACACACTAATTTGGAATGTCTAATAAAATTACAAAAATATCATTAAAAAAATTAAAATAATAGAAATAGAAATGAAGCTAAAATCTTATGGAATTAACCTCTACTAGCAACTTTGATAGGTTTTAGGAGGTAATCTTTACTCGCAACCATCCTACTGTTCATGATCTGGATATTAATTTTCTTGATCTGAAATGGTTAAGTAAGAAGATAAACTCCACTAGCTCAGTAAGAATATCATATTAATGTATAACACAGAAAATCGAATGTTGGTACAAATTATAACACAACTAATGGAGTCATTTGTTTTCTTAAATAAATTCATTTATTATAAAATTATTTATTTCATACTTACCATTACGAGTTTTCAAAATCAACCTATAAGGACAATAACTCAAATAACATTATAATTTCATATGCAAGTGAGCAACAATAGCAACTTTCCTTTTTACCTGCTTACCGGTACCTCTAGGGATTCATAGAGATATCTCCCCTATGCATGAACCCAATATCCAATTTTGTTAATCAATCAACTGTCCCAATATCCCGTCCGGTAATGAGCGTCAAATATACCATCGCATTGATACCCCGTCCGATATGAGAGTGAACCATATATCTCAAACCCTTCTGGTATTAGACTTTCTAGTCCTGTCCGACTGAGATAACATTCATGGTAGAATTTTTTCTATGTACGAGGTCCGTTCACCATTTCCCAAGATACCCAATAAACTTTCATACATAGATTCACATTATCAATCAATTCCCAATTACATATCAATATCTTATATTTACCTATTTACCAATCAACAATAAGTTATGCAAAAAGACGGTATGTAAGTCAAGACAATATAATTGAAACACTCGTTGCAAACGAACCAATAATTAGGGTTATGCAGTTAGATAAACCAAATAACTAAGAAAGCAACATAAACTAGCAATTTAACACACACAACATAATAATAAGTATTTTAAGCAGTATAAGAGAAAATAAATAATAAACTAAGATGAATATGCACTAACCGGTTTCGGTTTCACTAATGACCTATAATTAACTTTAGGGTTCTTTAATTTTTACAAAATACAACATTATTGATTATTAAGTCTCAATTTTTCGTAACAAGGAAAAGAGTGAGGGATTCTTACACTGGATCTATGTTCGAAATACCGTACTATCTACTGCGCCTCTTGACAGTCCCCGAATTTCCTGAATTTTTTCTGCGAAATTTAAAACACCCGTCAAGTATCTAAAAATACTCTAAAAAACTAAAATATGTGTTTTAAAATCTTTTTGACAAATTTTAAGGTTTTGGTACAGTGGCACCGCTGTGTTCTGGCGCCGGCTCCATTGCCCACAATGGCGATTCACCTAAGCCTGCCCGGTTTTGGCTAGTTTTGATCGGTTTTATGCATAAACCTGCGAAAAAACGGGCTAAAAGCCTTAGTTGGCTGAAAAAGGTAAAAAACTAAAACCCTACTGGCAAAAGGTCTTTGGGTGTGGCAGCTCTACCGGTTCTCCTTCGTGGCTAGAGTTCTCATTCGGTTAACCTACACCATAAAATAACGGTGAACACGGTGACAAAAAATCACGCGAAACGAAAAATAGAAAGGGAGTCATCAAATAGGGTTTTGGGTTTTGGCTGCAGCGACTTAGACAAGCTTTACCTGCAATTTTCGGCTCACCCATCGACTCTTTTGCTTCGATATGGTCATAGGGAGACTCAAAATTGAATTCCGAGCAGGAATGAAGTTTTTTTACCTTTTTTGACGACCGACGGTGGCTCCGGTGCAGCAGCAGCGTCCCTCCGGCAACTGATCTTCCCTCCAACCACCTTCTTCTTCTTTTTCTTCAGGTTATACTTGTGTAGCATAAATACATAAAATACGTTATGGACCATGGATAGCTCTGGAGGTAGTGTTAGTCTGTAGGCAAACGTACCAATCATGTCCAATATAATAGTCCAATGAACTGGGGATTTAATTTTCATCTTTTACTAAACCTGCTAATTTTCTTGAAATGGATGATCTTAAAAAATACCCAATCATCTTTTTCAAATTCCAAATCTCTCATTCGAGTGTCCACATAACTCTTCTGTCTACTCTGAGCTATTTAAATGTTCTTCTTGATTTTAACTATCTTGGATGTAGTCTCCTCTACAAGATCCGGATCAAATAATTTTTTATCACCCACCACTTCTCAACAGATCGGCGACCTATAAGGGCGGTCATACAATGCTTCATATAAAGCCATGTCGATACTTGTTTGATAGCTGTTATTATTAGCGAACTTTATCAAGGATAGGTAATCATCCCAATGACCTCTAAAGTCTATAATGCAAGCTTGGAGTATAGCCTTTAGTGTGCAAACCGTCCGTTCTGATTGTCCATAGGTTTTAGGATAGAATGCGGTGCTGAAGAACAGTTTCGTTCTCATTACTTGCTAAAAACTAAAACAAAATCAAGAGGTGAATGTGAGATCTTTGTCGGATATTACTATCACTGAAATTCCATATAGTCTAACTATCTCCCAGATATAAATTCTTGCTAGCTTGTCTAAGGGGTCAGTCATCGTGATAGCCAAGAAGTGAGATGACTTTGTGAGTCGGTCAATAATTATCCATATAGCATCATGTCCCAAGTGTGCATTTGGCAGCCATGTCACAAAATCTATGGTGATATGTTCTTATTTCTACTTCGAGATCGACAATGGCTGAAGTAACCCATCTGAGCGTTGATATTCTGCCTTAACCTATTGACATACAAGGCACTTATAGACGAAATCAGTAGTTTCTCTTTTCATTCTACTCCACCAAAAATGAAGTTGCATATTTTGGTACATCTTAATACTTTCAGGATGTATGGTGAACTCTGAACTATGAGACTCTATCATGATGTCCATTTTTAAGTTACTGTCATCTGGAACAC